ATATTATATATATATTACTATATAAGTTTTTCTTCATTACCCATTCAAGCTGTCTCCAACCATTATTAGTCTCAAAGTGAGTTCCTCATCATCGAATAAGACTGTATATGTCGGTAGGAAAGTATAGGGCATCATCATGTTTAGCCACAGCAGACTTTCCAAAAATTAGTCCATCCCTACTTTCCATTTTCAACCAAGTGACTTATATTGTATTACAAAAAGGGGCAGCACCTGTGATGGTGAATATTCTCTCTTTTTTTCACATACGTTAATTGTACTGAAAGCTAGTATGCTTGCCCTATTAATTTTTCCTTTATCTCTTTTCATAAGCAATTTTTCTATTTTATTGCTCATCTTTTGTTAATTGTGTGCATATCATTATCATCTTCAGTGTTTAATAAAAAGAACACAATGCTTGGTACATTTTAAATATTTTATATTTTTTACACATTTTCTTCAAACAATTGTTTTATAAATTTAGAAAATCTTACTTACTGTTTCTTGATTGCTGACAGTTAATTCTATGTTTGAGTAGAATTGTATGAAGAAGAAAACATCTACAATTTAAATCATAATCATTTGCATCAATACAGTGTGATATTCATTCAAAGTGTTCTAATGAATCAACTGGCATTTTATTTACAGCCAGTGCAAGACTGATTACTGTAGTAACTTAAGTCTAGTTAGATATTAACAAAAACGTTAACTACACTTTGATCTCTTCTAACAAAGGCTAGCCAACAGTTCTTGATGATCTGTGAAATTCAGTACTACATTGACTCTGTGTAAGTAACAAAGTCAAGTTTATGATGCTTCAGAAAGATACGTTTTTCTGTAGTCTTTTAATAATCCTTTTTTATGATCATGATAAAAACAGTTGAAAGTTTTCCTTAAGAGCTATTTATTTTTTAAAATCAAGTTCTGTAACAGTGAATTTGCCTTATTTGTTAGAAGTTTTCAAAAAATTATGTGTGATTGTGTATAATAAAGCTGCTTTCAACAAAAATGCTTTTTTTTTTCTAGTATATATATCAAAATAAATGTTTAATAAGTGCTAGGAATGGAACAGTGCTTCATTAATTAATTGTTTATAAATCTTTATTGTTACTTTTTTTACTGATTCCATTAAGATAAAATTGTAATTCAATAATTAAGAAAGAAAGGAATTGGACAATTTTAATAGTGTGATGTGTATGGTTTATATAAGAGATTGAATCAGTCCTTCCAATACTAGATCTTGTTGCTTTCACACTTTTAGCACTAAGGATACCTCTGAATTAGTAAATGACTTGCTTAAGAAGTAGGTGATTTGTAATTTGGGAAAAATCCAGGTTTTTTGTCTTGCAAGTTTCTCTATTATACAAAAGTGGGGAAACTGTGTCATGGCATTAATTGAGAAACTTCACAAAATTCTGGTTTTTAAAATTTGAAGGTTGACTATTGACATTAACAACACAAAAAGCTTGGAAGCACTGGTAACATCTCTTGTTTTTGGAGAATAGTTTTGTACTAACTAATGATTCCTTGGTCTTGACAGTATCTACATTGTATATCTTGTCTTGGTCACAAGACATTAGAACAAAGTAGTTAGTCCTGGTTATTGTAATATGTGTCTTGTAGAATTAGCAGTTATTCAGACAACAGTCTGTATTACTGGAAATAAAGAACATTTATACCAGATCATGAAGATGAACCATTGATTTTTTGTAATAGTAGTGGTAAAACATAAACACTAATTTATTTTTAACACAAGAGTGTATTAGCCAATATACATAATTGCCATAAAAATCTTTCATGACAGTTGTTGCTACAAAATAAGCTGTTGGATGAAAGTAATTTCAAAACACTTGCATTCAGCAGACCAATAAAAGTTTTCCTCTGTTATTTTTTCAGTTAACATCTGGAATGAAATCAGACTTAGGTTTAGTTACAGGTTGTTCTATCACTCATGTGATTTACAAACAACACTTACACTACATAAAAATAAACCTAAATTCAAGTTTTAAAACATTACATACATACACTGTACATACATATTCAGAATATTTTAATTTAGGTTTTATCACACTTATTTAGTGTATGATATAACTATTCTATTATCTTCAATGCTTTGACTTCATGTTGCTTTAAATGCACGCAGAATTTTTGTAAGCCAGACACCTTATACAGCACAGTCCCATTCAACTGCCGGAGGTGAACCATACACTATACAGTGAATCAGCAGTCAATGGGTTAATTTTGGCTATCTTTGAATTTCAATATCTACTTTACATATATTCTGTACACCTACAAGCATTTGTCTTAGCATCTGATTAAAATATTTATAACTTAAATGTTATACAATATTCAGGCTATATATGACATGAACTATATTTCATCATGTTTACCTATCAATCAGGCAAGGTACAACATTTGCTAAACTATTTCTAATGTCCACGTTCACCTAAGTCAGTCTAAAATATTACATTTGCTGTAGCAAGTGCCTTAGTGCTTCAGCAGAGGTTTATATATATTTTGTCTGGAATCTATAATGTGATACTTGTGCAAGCATCAGATTAAACGTTTTGAAATCATGTTACTGTATATCAGTTTGTCATTAACTGTTATAGTTAAATAATTTTATGTTTTTTTCCAAGTTTTTTCTTAAAAATGAAACTAACTTGTAGATATATTGATGAAGTGAAATTTGTTTGTAAGAAAATATTAAATCAGTTAATATACATTTATTTCACAAAAATGATTAAATTAAACAAAGTCCATCTGGTCAAAAACAACGGTGGAAGTGCCTTGCATAAGATTGTCATATCAACAAGTGTGGTCTGCCCACACAAGAAACATCCAGAGGAAGCACCTTAGTATACATCGGATTATGTTAAGTGCGGTCCATCCGGGCAGAAAACATCCAGTGGAAGCATCTTGCATAGTTTTTTTTTTTATATATTGTATGTAATAGATAGTATGATTAACAAGAGAGGTCAGCAAAAGTAGCTATCTCCTATTTTGGTCTAATTATGGGTATTGTTACGTCTCTGGTCGTTTGTTAATTTCCCGTATAATTTCTTTCCGATGACACTTTAGCGACACAAGTCCTTTCTTAAATAAAACTAGTTTATTCTTTCTCAATACAACTTTGCAATGCACTTAATTTTCACAATCAGTTTAACTTAAACATATGCTATAATTCACAACAAACGATTCACGCACTTAACCGCACTTGACTCAATTGTCCGTCTCTATCTCTGCCTATCTGCATTGTTCACTTCATCCCAACTGAAATGTCCTGGACCGTGATAATGCCAAAGCTTGCTGGCATGAACCACCTTTGGCTTACCTCGCCAACCACAATTTATCCAGAAATTCACGTCTGAGAGACGAACCACTATGTCATATGGACCTTCCCATGGAGAAGACAGCTCAGGAGACTTCCCTTTGGTCTTCCTGGGATTATACAACCACACCTTGTCTCCTGGTACAAAGCTGACTTCAGTAGATCTCTTATCATAACTTAACTTCATCGACTCAACAGATGTTTTCAAGTTTGAACACACTTGTGGTGAATATTATCCATCCTTTCCGATAACACTTTCACAAACTCTGGTACATTTTCAAGCAACTCTTCATAAGGTGGGCGTCAACCAAAGTTCTCGACCAAACATCAACTTTGCTGGAGTGTATCCAGTGGCTTCATGCTCAGCTGTTCTACAGGCCATCAACAGTGGAGGGAGTAAGACATCCC